ACATCGAAGTGTCTACTCGATTATCTATCTCGAGACTTTGCAGACATGTTTCTGATCAAGTTAATAAATTTTTTATAAAAATATTATAAATATTAAATTAATATAAAAATTTATATTTATTATTTATATAAATAAAATTTTAATATTAAAAGTTAAGTTTTGTTTTTTATTTTTAAAAATCTAAAAATCAGTTTCTAAAAATGTTAGTTTGAATATGAGTTTTTAAATAGGGCTTACAAAAAAAAAAAAAAAATTTGAAATAACAATATGCACCAAACTAACCCCCCATATATTATTGGAAAAGTGTTTTGCACAACCTTCTCCATGGAAGACATCTTTGAAAATATTATATTTTCATTAATATTTTTAAAATTTAATTCTTAAATTGAAAGTTCTAACCCATATATATTAATTTTGAGAGTATTTAGTAGATCCGACAATTCATTGATTAAATAAAATTTAACATTATTAAATATATATTAGTAAATAAAATTTCTCTATCAAAAGGTTATAAATATTAAATTAATTTAAAAATTAACATATACGATCTATATAATAAAATATTTAATTCAATGGTTGATTTTTGAAAATAATAATTATAAGGTAAGTTTTTAACAAACCCTAAAAGGAATTTTGGGAGAATGATTTGCACTACACTAAATCTATATATATATATATATATATATATTTGAGAAACTTATTTACACACAAATTTTATCCAACACACTTAAACAAAATTTTAATTATTCATCTTTTTATTTTTTATGATTGAGATTTATCATTATTTTTAAATAAAAAATAATTATTTTTAATAACCGTAAGTAAATTTCAATTATTCAAAAGAGAGAGATGAATGGTTGAGATTTTGTATAAGTGTAATATATAAGATTTATTTGTAAGTGGATCTCATAAATGAGTAAAAATTCATTTACACACAAATTTTACACATCACAATTATACAAAAACTTAACTATTTATTTTTCTACTTTAAATGATTAAAATTTATTATGACTTTTTAAACGAAAACAACAATTATTTTTAATAAATATAAATAAATTTTAACCACTGAAAGTGAAAAAATGAATAGTTAAGATTTTGCATAAATATAATGTGTAAACATATATGCAAGTAAATCCCTACTCATATATATGATCAAAATATCAATAATTATCTTTAATGAGTTGGGATCCACTTACATTTAACCCTCATGTACCACACTTACACAAAATTTTAACTATTCATGTCTTCACTTTTAATGGTTGACATTTATGAATATTTATTAAAGATAATTACTATTTTCATTTTAAAAATCATAATAAATCTTAACTATTAAAAGCAAAGAAATAAATAGTTGAGATTTAATTCAATTTGGTTTATAAAACTTATGTATAAGTAGATCTCTCCTCTCTATATATATTAGGGTTTGTCTAACCTATGCCCTTAGGACACAAATTAAGTACAATTTAATGGTGCGATAAATGTAACTTTTTATAATTAATTCACTTTAAAAATTATAAAAATTGATATATATTTTAATATTATTAACACATGAATGATTTTAATTAGTTAATTGATTAAATTAAAAAAATTGATATATATTTTAATATTATTAACACATGAATGATTTTAATTAGTTAATTGATTAAATTAAAGTTAATATTTATACTTTTAATAAAAATTAATTATGAAAAGATGCATTTATTGCACTTATTTTCTAATTAGTATTTTTTAAAATCAACTGCAAAATTGAAAATTTTATTTATATAAATCTTATATGTTAACTTTCAAGATGATTTAGTAGACCTAATTGTTTCATTGATTATATAAAATTTAATACTATTAAATATATATCAATAAATAAATTTTTTTTATCAAAAATTTATAAATGTTAGATTAAAATAAAAATTGACATATATAATTTATATAAATAAAACTTTTCAATCTATGATTGGTTTTTGCAAATATTAATTTGAAGGTAGGATTTTAGATATGTCCTCCATACAAAATTTTAGAAAGATGACCTACCTTATATTATATATAAACTTTATTTATGGACATATATTTAACTGTATTGAATTTTGTGTAATCAATAAAGTGATTAAGTTTATTCGATTATTTTAAAAATTAATATGCATAATTTATATGAAAAGAATTTTTAATTCAACTGTTAGTTTGAAAAAATATTAATTAGAAGATGAGATTTACATAAGTCTTAAAAGGTTTAGCAGAATAACTTATAAAATACTTTTTTAAAATAAATAAATATATACATAAGTTGCCCATAGTTATGATAACTAACAATAATAGTATGACTATCGAAACTGTATATTATTATTTTTTAAAATATTGATTTTATTTAATTTAATACATAAAATAATTAATACTTATAATTATTAATTAAAAACTTAAAAAATAATTAATATTATTAATTAATAAATTAATCAGCAAATTAATATTTATACACACAATGTAAGAAAAAGAACATTGGGAACCTTTTCATGACTTAACAATATTGATGGTGGGATTAACTACACTCCTATGCAAGTATATATAATTCTTTTTCCCTTAATGCAGCATGATTTCTACTGTTAGGAGCCCATGCGGTATCCCTTTCACTTTATGAATCCTGCAGGAATCCTTCATACACTAGGGTTTCACTGATCACTCTCACTAGCTTATCTCAACATTTTCTCTTCCACTTTCTGAGTAAATTGTCGATGGACTTTCACAAATCTTAAAACAAAATATTCGGAAATCCCTTTACTCTCTTCCTTTTCCAATTATGGTCAACAAATCCGAACCAGTCAACGGCAACGTTAAACCACCAGCAGCAGCCATGCCGGCGCCCAGCCTGAAATCAGATCTGCTCAACACCCTGTCTCTCAGAACCCTCAAACTGAAAACCAAGCAGCAGGAGCTCCTAATTCGGGTTTCCATACTGTGCCTAGTTTACATTTTGGCTTTCATTACCCGTTTGTTCAGTGTTCTTCGTTATGAATCTATGATCCATGAGTTTGACCCCTACTTCAATTATCGAACCACTCTTTTCTTGACCCAGAAGGGGTTTTATGAATTCTGGAATTGGTTTGACTCCGAGAGCTGGTACCCTCTTGGCCGCATTATTGGCGGAACTCTTTACCCCGGCCTCATGGTCACTGCTGCTGTTATTTACTGGGTCCTTCGGTTTCTCCGCTTCGCTGTTCATATACGTGAAGTGTGCGTCTTGACAGCTCCGTTTTTCGCTTCCAATACTACGGTGGTCGCGTACTTCTTTGGGAAAGAGATATGGGATTCAGGGGCTGGACTTGTGGCTGCTGCATTGATCGCCATTTGCCCTGGTTACATTTCCAGGTCGGTGGCTGGATCATATGATAATGAGGGTGTGGCCATTTTTGCGTTGTTGTTGACATTTTACTTGTTTGTCAAGGCTGTCAGAACAGGGTCCTTGGCTTGGGCCTTGGCCTCAGCTTTTGGGTACTTCTATATGGTTTCTGCATGGGGAGGATATGTGTTTATCATTAACTTAATCCCACTTTATGTGATGGTCCTTTTAATCACTGGGAGGTATTCAATGAGGTTATATGTTGCTTATAATTGTACGTATGTTCTGGGAATGCTGCTTGCAATGCAAATTCGGTTTGTGGGGTTTCAGCATGTACAATCTGGAGAGCACATGGCAGCTATGGGCGTCTTCTTCCTATTGCAGGTTTTTGTTGCATTTCTACTTTTCTTAGCTTAATGTTTTTTCTGTATATTGCTATGATTCACCTTGAAAATGTAGGGAAGAGTGAAATAGAGAACACCCCCTTTTGATCCCCAACTAGCTTTGACCTGTTATCCTATTGTTGTCGTGATATTTTGAAATTATCTAACTCGCTCTTTTGGAATTATTTTCTTATCTTAGCACAAAAAGAAAAAATGGAAGTTGAATTCGCCATAAGATTTAACAAAAAAGGCCCCGGTTTTGAAGCCCACTGTCTTTCTTCATTTGAGAATATGTTTCTACCTAAGAATCAACCAAATATTAGCTTTTAAGAAAGTAACTAGCTACTAGATATCATTATAATCTCGTGTACATTATTTCCATTTGTTACTGTGTCTTAGTTTACTATAAATTCATGGTCATTTTTTCTTTTTTCAATTTTATGGTACCATAGCTTTATGGATAGTTATATAAGAGGTCAATATGGAAGGAGTTAATTTTACTGTGCCATTTGCAGCATTAACTTTGACCATTTGATTCATATGAATTTATGATTATATTGAAAATGCTTGAGTATTAGTGCTTCAGATATGGGGTCTCTTGTTGTATCCTTATACAAGACATATAAACTGAATAATCTAAAGTTGCAATAGCTATTTAAATACTGAATAACTATGTTTTTGTTTTTGTCTCAGTATGGGATGTATTTCTTTTGGCTTCTTGTTGTACTCAATGTGCTAAGTTTTGCATTTTGTTAAAACTTACAATAGCTGTAGCAAAAAGCAAAGCTTTTGTTGCATTCTAATGTTTGCTTATTTTATTTTTTGAACATTAAAATGAATAATTTGCTGCTTTTATGAATATCATTATTGAATGTTGTATAATTATAAAGCTGAATGAGGGACTGACTTGGACTATTTATGCAGGTTTTTTACTTCTTAGACTGGGTTAAGCACTTGCTGAGTGATGCAAAACTGTTTCAGGCCTTTTTGAGGATTACTTTGACATGTGCAATAGGTGTTGGTGCTGTTGCCTTGGGTGTAGGCACAGCATCTGGGTATATTTCTCCATGGACTGGCCGATTTTACTCTTTGCTGGATCCAACCTATGCTAAGGATCACATCCCCATCATTGCATCTGTCTCTGAGCATCAGCCAACAGCTTGGTCATCATTCATGTTTGACTTTCATATTCTACTTTTCCTTTTCCCTGCTGGTCTTTATTTTTGCTTCAAGCGATTGTCAGATGCCACTATATTTATAGTTATGTATGCCCTCACAAGCATGTATTTTGCTGGTGTCATGGTTCGGTTAATTCTTGTTGCTACACCTGCAGTATGCCTTATTAGTGCTATTGCTGTTTCTGCCACCATAAAAAATTTGACTATGCTGTTGAGGTCAAAACACAAAGTTGCCCAGACTGGTTCAACTAAGGCAACTGTTAGTGCAAAAGCTTCTTCTAAGGTTAGCAATCTTCCTCTCCTTCTTCACCCCTCCGCACAGCAGCAGAGCTTAGTTTTACTGTTTATTATTTGTAGCATTTTTGTAATTGATATCTCAGTTCTTTGCTATTATCAGCAGCTCAGGTTGAGTTGTATGATTGTACACTTATTCTGACATCAATGTGCCCTTACATTACATCTGTAGCTAGTTATAATTATTAATTATTTCCATTTTTAATCATTGCCTTTTCTTTCTATTATCTTCTTCTGTAGCATACTATGTATGGGCCATTTGATTCATTTTCTGATGAATAAGCTTTCAGTCGGTAGAAATTTTGGTTCCTGCATTTCTGAGTGTGGGGTTGGATGTGTCATGTTGAGTTAATGAGCTCTAGTCATGAATAATAAACGAAAAGACTGAAAGTATATGCTGTTTCATTGGTCCATATGGTGTTTGGCACTTTTCCTAATTCCTAAAGTATGTAATCTAGAGGTCAACATTGCAATTATTGGCCAACAGCTGAAGGTTTTCTGTCAATAATATTATGTTAACTTTTCCTGCTGGCTTAATTTTTGCTATGTCCCAAAAACTAATATTTGTTCTTGTTTGTTTATTGCCTAAGCAGGCTTCACTTGATCAATCTCAGCCTTTCCAAAGAAATGGTGCTGTTGCCTTGCTTCTTGGTGCTTTTTACTTGCTCAGTAAGTATGCTGCCCACTGTACCTGGGTGACATCAGAGGCATATTCATCTCCATCAATTGTCTTGGCTGCAAGGGGTGCCCATGGCAACAGGGTTATCTTTGATGATTACCGTGAGGCATACTTTTGGCTTAGGCAAAACACTCCTCCAGATGCTAAGGTGATGTCTTGGTGGGATTATGGGTATCAGATCACTGCCATGGGAAACAGAACTGTTATTGTTGACAATAACACATGGAACAACACACATATTGCTACCGTTGGCCGTGCAATGTCATCTTATGAAGATGAGGCATACGAGATAATGAAATCGCTTGATGTGGATTATGTATTAGTTGTCTTTGGAGGTGTCACCGGTTATTCCTCAGATGATATTAACAAGTAAGTCCTGAAATTTTCAATATATCAGTCTTTTTTAAAATGGTGCCTCAAAATAGTTACTAAGTTGCAGATCTTATCATCCCTCTGAAGCATGGAAATTAACATTGTTTTTTCTTTAATTGAACAATATAATTCCTACATTTATTTACGCACCATAGTTCCTCTCACCCTTACTATCCCACCTAACCTCCCATTTCTAGCTGCCTCTACTTGAAACAGTAAAAAGAGGAAAAACAGGAATGAGAAAAAGGGAAGAAAATCAACATATGTGGGTGTGCACCTATATGTGCAGATCAACTTGGTCTCTTATTTTCCACTTATCTAAACATTTTGAGCCAGCTCCATAAAATTTTATCCAATTGTTGGGAAACTCAGTTTTTGACCATACCAGTTTGTCTCTTGGTTAATGAAACTGCAGTATGCTTTTTGCCTTTGGCTGATGGTCTTCTCTTTTTCTTTCTTCTTGGCTAGTCATCAGTGTGCCTCTACCATATACTAAATATATCGTTTAACATTGAACCAGATTTTTGTGGATGGTGAGAATTGGAGGTGGAGTTTTTCCTGTAATTAAAGAACCTGATTACCTTGTTAATGGGGAGTATCGTGTTGACAAAGGTGCAGCTCCAAAAATGTTGAATTGTCTGATGTAAGTATCTTGTCATATTTATGCATTTTATTGTCATTTGTATTCCTAATGAAGCATTTCATTTGGTTTTTTCTTCCCATAGTTCGCTGTGATCTTTTATTAGAGACTATCATAAAGCTTTAGCTAATATGATTTTCAAACAGTCTAATTCTCTACTGGTGATAAATTATTAATAAATATGAACAAGAGTGTATTATTTCTGGTGTTTGAAAGTCTAGCTTACGTAATTTCTTTTCTGTATTAGGTACAAGTTGTCCTACTATCGATTTGGAGAGTTGGTTACGGAATATGGCAAACCTCCTGGGTGAGTTGGCCTTTTTATCTTTAAAAAATAGTTGTTGTGCATAACATTATCTTCCTCTGCTTCAGAATATCTGTATATTTTGGCTGAGTCCCTTTTATGCTTTACAGCTTAGTGCCATGACCGTGGATATTGCTAAATTCCTGTAATTGCTTTTTGGGTGGCAGGTATGACCGTGCGCGTGGAGTTGAGATAGGTAACAAGGACATTAAACTTGAATACTTGGAAGAGGCATTTACAACATCTAACTGGATAGTTCGTATCTATAGAGTTAAACCTCCAAATAACAGGTGGTGATCTGACTCACTCTATGCCAGACCGAAAAGGAACGTTTGGTGGCTGAAACTGAGTGCTTTAGTCTTGGGATTTTGCTTAGAGAGATTTTTTAACGTTCAAGGCTCTTAAATATCTAGAAACCATTGTTGCATATTTAAAGCCCCTTTTAGATCCATGATTTCTCAGAACACTGTAACTCACTGCGTCGATGCAATTTTATAGTATTAATGAAAGATGAAAGATGAGATTATTAAACAACATTTGAACTCTAAACTCTGGCAGAATAACCATGATTTTTTATATTTGGGATGACATCACAAATATATGCACTTTAACTTGAATGTGACTCGGCCATTAACTTCAGATTTTTTATGGATTTCAAATGGTAGAAGGTGTTGATTAAGAGTGATAATTTTAGAAGATGTTGACTGCAGAAAATAATAATGTCAAGGATACAAATGGAGAGTTTAGCCTAAAAGGTCCAGCCTTGCTGCCTTGCTTTCTATTTGCTATTTAAACACATGATGAACAACAGTTGTACAAGGGAAATCTCTTAACAGTGTGTTGTTTACCTTTCTTTTCTTGGGGTCTCGACCCTTTCATTTATACTTGACATTATATGATAAATGATAAAGCAGAGTAATGCTTGGCATAGTTTAAAATAAAAAATCAATTCTATGAATATACAAAGAAAGTAAGCTAATCAAGGGCAGCTTTGCTCCTTCGACTGGTTATTGGCTTTGGCAAGCCATCAAATATTGGAATTGAGATTGCAGCAGTTGAAAGAGACTGCAAGTCAGGCTTCAAACTCCACTTTGAAGTTGGCCAAACAGATGATGAATTGCCATTATCTTGGTCTTGGAGGGTTGGCGTACTTGATGATTTCCGAACTCCGCTCGGGCCATCCGGGATTATAGAATCTCCCAAACCAACCGGAATAGGATTTAACCACCCTGAGTCTGAATCTGCCGTCAGCAGTGCACGGCTAGCCATTTTGGTTCTAAGAGCTAAACCTTTTCCTGTTAATGGTGTGAAGAAACCACTGCTTCCACCATTTTCTTCTTTCAACAACCTTTCTGGTGTACCACCTTTTGAATCAGCCTCAGATTTCTGACGCCTCCGGACAGACTTCTCACTGGATTTCTCACTCTCTCCCTCTCCAGCTTCTGCAAGAGGCACTTGCTCACCCACTCCATTCTCAGGCGAAAAGCCATTATTGGACTTGTGATCATGATCCAAAACATGGCTGGCTAATGGTGTAGCTTTAGGCATCAAACTATTATTCAAGTAATCCAAGCTCCCTGTTCTGTAGACAGCCATTTCTGTACCTTCGGATGCACCCTTCTGATTTAGAGTTTTCAAACCATAGTACTTTTGTAAGGTGCTCATGGCTGGAGAAACCTTCTGCGTAGAGGGTTTCAGTCTTAGAGGCTGAAAGGATTCTAAGACATTTGATTGGTCAGCACATGGTGGGATTCTTACGTGGCCATTTTCTCTGCAAATGGTTTAAAGCAAGAAAGTATGGCTCAAATATTTGTTTCTAAAACAAAATTAGTTGAATATTTAATAAAAAAATCATGACATCTGGAAAGGTGCAGAATGGTGAAGAAACCTCATCCTCTTTCACATTAAACATCAAGAAGATGCTTTTACATCTAAAACAGTCACTTGCACTGTAGTTGCACTCAGTTAGTGGTTACCAACTTAGCTAAGTACTAGTTGGTATTCATACATAGATATGAATGTCTAGAAAATGCAAAGACATTGCTGAATTATATTTTTTCTTACCAGAAGTAATTTAGGATGAAGAAAACCATGACTTAAAGAAAGTAATGAGTCAAAGAAAAACGCACCTAAGCAACAAACAAAAGGAAATCAACTGCATTAAAAAAAAAAAAAAAAACAGCAAATAAAAAGTATTCCACTACTTACACAATTTGCAACTTTACATTTCTGCTAAAATTTTAGATGACTATACACCATAGCAAACATCTCACAGGACAAAAATATTCTAATAGGCAATCTGAAACAAAAGTTCAGAGAAGTAGAACCGTCAACTGCCAGGGCAAACTAAGGTGCAAGCCCAAACATGTGGGAAAACAAATATGCAGACAAAGATGCCACTTTCCAAAATAAATTAAAGTTATTTGACAAAACCAGCTCAAGAAAAACAAGTAAAAGCTTGATAGATGTAGGATTTTCAATGTAGTAAATAAATGGACATGCCAGAAGCCTCCTGTATGCCCCTCTTGAATTCCTGAAGGTTATACATCATCAAAGTTGATCTCCCAATAACATTTTGACCACATTACTTGAAAATATATATTCAAGTCTATAAAACATTTCCAGAAATAAGTTTAAAAAAGACTGATGCCTTTATGATTAGCCCATAGCATTTTAAGTTGAAGGCATTTTATTTTTTTGGTCTTGAGGCCAGGTGGTCTCCTGATCCTGAACTAGTTTGTCCATGCCAGACTAAGGGCTAAAGCAGTAACGTGCTCATCATGTGTGTTAGACAATGCAATAAAAAGAAGTCCTTTGTTCATTACCATGAAGTTTATTTGAGCCAGCAATAAATATTTTTTTACACACAAGCCTCCAAAGATAGACATCTTTACAATTAGTGCACAGTTTAAAGTCATAGAACTTAAATAGCTAACAACTCATTATTATACATTGAGATTTTTTCCACTGGACAATGTTATAAATTCAGTCTTCACATTTTATCTTTCTCAAGAACATGGCTTATAGACATAGACATAAAATGGAAAGCAGCTCCATAAAAGAGTAAATGACCGTCTTCTCAGCAAACTTACTGTCATGCTATGAGAAGGGATGTCAAACAAATGCTCACAACCGTCACTATAAACCTCACTCATAAAAGGTTGAAACTTTTAACAGTGAAATCAAAATAGATCCTGTTTCACCATTATTATGAATGTGGAGATAAAATCACTGTTAACCAGGAATGGGGAGAAAGGGAGGAAAATTGCAAAGCATACTACTTGGTAGATATTTAAGAGTCATCACATACCAATTTAGGTATGGTGGAGAAATTAATAATATGAATAATGCTAAGATTCCAAAGAGAAATGGCCTAAAAAGTATATATTACTCAAAAGAAGCGTAAGTATACACCATAGATAAAATCAAAATTAAGAAAATTGATTGATGCAATCGGATCAAATACAAAATTAAGAATAAAAAAGGATAACAGAATGAAACACAGTCCAAAACAAGAGTAGAATCTTACTCTACAGAAGCAGAAGATGCGTAGGAGGAACTTGATGACAGAGGGTGCCTTCCTGGTAATGGTATTAGCAATGTCTTTAAAGCAAACATCTGAAGATCCGTGGACAAACCATTCAACTTCTTAATATCGGCCACCTATTACATATACATGGAAAAGCATTTGCATTAGAAGACACAAATATGAGACACCACATTATTATTTGGCATTTGGCTTCAATCAAAGGGTACATGTGCAGACACCCATTAGAATAGAATAACCTCTTAAAAATAATGTGGAAAGAGCCTTTAATTGGGTGAAAGTCAACATTGTAAGAAAGGTGCAATGTGTCCATTGATCTCAGTTTACCAAAGAAATAGTGTCAAAAAGATCATGCATCATGACATAAACTTTCAATGAAACCATAACCACATCACTAAACTTCAATTGATTGTTAAAAACAAATGGCACACCCCTTTACATTTTAATAACAGGTTTCACCAAACAGCAAGTTCCCATCTCATGTTTTCAAACAAAACAGTGGAAAGAGTGCAGAAGGCAAATGGAATCAGCATGAAGTATAGCTAATCTGGAGATGAGGCAAATTTAACCGATGAGGAAAAATAAATAAATAACTGCAGCAAATATCTTGGAGAATCTAACAAAGTACCACTTAACCGTTAGCTCAATTCCCCTAAGAAGAGATTAATCAAACCATTTCTAATTTCCTACCCCAAATCCAGATAGAGATTTTAATCAAGAGGGGAGCCAACTGCCAAACCCATTAAAAAGTGAAGAAAGAACCCAGGATGGGTACCTCAACACCATACTTGATGGCAACACCGGCAAGGGTGTCCATCTTTGACACCTGATGCTCTATGTAATTCTGCTTATTCCCAGTATTCTTTTCTCCAGACGCAGTTCCATACGAAGGAGGAGGCATCTGGGTCCAGAACACACCAGATCAATGCTTGTTACCCCTTGTAATGGGAGCCAAAGTCAGAACCCAACTCTGCAAATGGAAGTCAGAGTTGGAAGGATGAAACGGCAAAAGATGTTAAAGATAGAAAAGGCCGATCTCCAAGAATGGGATTCCTTGTATTACAGTGATGGATGCTTTTTGAAGATGAAAATGAGAGGGGACCGGTTTTCGCTTAAATACACTGCTAAGTGGTGGGCAGGTAAGGTGAGAGAAAACTGAAAAGGAGTAGATTATTTGATTTGTTTTGTTTCTAAATGCCAAATTTCTGTCCTAAACCTTGAAATTTTTCATCCTTTACTATAAAAAAACATTTTTTTTTCTTTTGTCAATTTTGGCCTTTAAATTTGTAGGGCAAACATATTTTTGTCCTTGGGTTTTAAGTGTAGGACTAAAAGTGTGTAATAAATATTAGTTTATGATAAAAAAAATATATTAACTAGATAGATTTAACAAACAAAATTGACAAAAGAATGAAAAGTCTATTTTTTATAATTGAGGAATAAAAAAGTGCAAAAAAATAGTTCAAAAACTACTCCATGAAAAGTTCCTAATTAAAAGTTCAAGAACTAAATTTGGTATTTAACTTCCTAATTTTTATATTCTTCCAATATAAATTAATGAGATATTTTTTATATAAAAATATAGTTGTATTCACAATCCAAATAATTGCAATATAAATTATACCATTCCATATAGGCTATGTGGGAAATATAAAGTACGTTAAGAAAAACCTATGATTTTAACATAAACAACTACGGTTTAAAACATATAGGACAATTAAGCACTGAAAACCTTTAAATATTAGTATACATCATAGAGGCATTATAAAACTATGTAAAAACATAGAAATACTACTTTGAAGCCTTTTTTTTTTTATACTATTGATGACTAGTTGACACATCTATTTTACCATTGTTGGGGTAAGGGGTTAATAAGTTAGCAACGATGATGACGTGGAAGTTGATTGGGATACCCCCTACGAGAGATAAGAAGGATCCTTTTAGCTTGTACCTGTTTCACTTGCGAGAGGCTATATGTCACGAGGTGTCTCCCTCTATCCAATGGAGATGGTCTACTTTGAGTTCTTCAGCAAAGTCTAAAAGTATAGTTTCCCAAACCAAGCTACGAGAGTTGGACAACGATGACAAAGTTTCAAGAGTCAATAATGATTATGCAACTACCAAAAATAATGAAAAGGAGATGTACATTATGGTAGGAGCAATAAGGATAGCAAATATATAAAGATCAAATGTTACAACTTGAGAAGTACATTTATATAAAATACATTGTAGAATAATAATAAACATAGTAGATGTGCCCTATGTGATCATTGATAAATACTCTCACTCTAAAACAAGCAACCCTCATATTGTGATTAAGAACACAATAATCTTCTTCAAGCTTCCACAAAACAAAGAGAAATAAACTTGAAAGTAGTGATGGGAGAAGGAAGAATGATCATTGTGGGGGCTTTTGAATGGAGGAAGACTTGATCCCTTATCTTGATCCAACTCTAATGATTGATCATTTGATGCTCAAGAAAGACAACCCAAAATCTTAAATTGTAGCATGAAGTCCCCCAGCCATGACGTGTTGCAAGTCTAAAGTGTATTCTGTATGGCTAGAAGTGTAGAAAATATGAGGAAAATAGAGATTTTTGAGGAATTTTGTATGTGTATCAAGAGGTTGAAGATGAAGATTTCTTGAGAGTAAAAACAAAAATGGGTCTAGTGTGTCGTATCTAGAAAGTTTTCTTCTAATTTCCCAAAAAATTGCCAAAAAATGAAGGAAAAATCAAAATATATATTTGTAGTGGCATTTTAATAATTTTGAGTTAGTGGGACCAAAGTAGCCTAACACTCCAATGATTAAATTTGGGTTATGTGAGGACAAGTGTGAAGTTTTGGGTGGATTTGAGCATTGTTGACAACTTTTGAAGTAGGTTTAAGTATCATTTTAGTCCCTCAACTTTACACTTTGATATCAAAATTATCCCTTACCTTTAAAAAGTATCAAAATTATCGTTGAACTTCCATTTTTGGTACCAAAATAGTCTTTCGTCAGTTAAATGGCAGGTGTCAGGTTAATTTGCCAGCAAATCACTTGACTTTTTAAATGTTAATGACGTATAAATCCAACAAGGAAAACTCCCATTTTTTTAATCAGTTAATACATTAAAAAATAAAATTACTTAAATGCCCTCATCCTCATCCTCCAACCTTCCTTTCTTCTTTCTCCTGCATCTCCTCCAAGCTCCAAGCAAACCAGCAACTTCGAAAAATC